TTGCTTTTTTCCGCTTCTTTTGATTTCTTCCTTACCTCTCACCACCTCCCCCTCCTTTCGCTCAAATACCTGGCTCCGTGCTCCATCTTTGCTTCTTCCTGAGCAGCTACAGAGCTCTGGTAATTTGTGATATAAGCTTTCCCACTCCCTAACCTTCTTCACTCACACTCGGCCCCCTCTGCTTCCCACGGACACAGTCTCTTGTCTGAGAAAAACCGGCTGCTTGGATTCCACCGGCCTGCACTAGCTGGCTCTCTGAGTGCCATTTGTTGGCTACTGGTGTTGCTTTTTTTTTCCTGCTTCTTTTGATTTCTTCCTTACCTCTTACCACCTACCCCTCCTTTCACTCAAATACCTGGCTCCGTGCGCCATCTTTGCTTCTTCCTGAGGGGCTGCGGAGCTCCGTTCGAGTGTGGAGCTGCTTCCCGGTCTGGGCTACCGCGCTGGTGGGATCCTGGGGCTTTTGTTGGTTTGTTTGTTTTGAACTGTTGGTTTGTTTTCTTTTCCTTTTCTTGACTTGGGAGCCCTTTCTGGCCAGGCGGTGCTGCGTGGCAAGGAGACTACGCCCTCGGCTTGCACAGACATGCAGAGGGATCCCTGAGGACATTTCTTTCTTCGCTGCTTTTTTTTTTTTTTTCTGTTTTTTTCTATTTTTGGGGGGCTTTTCTTGTTCTTTGTTTTTTTAATTTGTTTTGTTTTCTTTTCCCTCTTTTTCCCTTTTTCTCTTTCTTCATTACTCAGTTTCTCGTCTCTCCGTATCTTCCTTCTCTTTTTGTTCCCTGAATACCTGGCATTGTATACCTCTATGCCTTCTAGCCAGGCTGTACTGCAACACCTGGGAGCGACTTCCGGAGACCTCATAGCTGCACCTGTGGGATCCCTGGGAACTTTGCGGTTCTTTAACCTTTCTGATTTTTATTTATTCATTCTTTTCTTCCTCTTCCCCTTTCTGTTTTTCTCCCTTTCATAGTCTCTCATCTCTCCACTCCAATGGCAATCTACCCTAGCATTCTTTTTTGTTTGTTTGTATGTTTTTGGCCCCTGTTCCTCTCTCCTCTCTCCCATATCCATCTCAGCTCCACACATAACAATCTCCCCACTACATCCTGCCTACCTGCACTGTGTGCTTAACATTACACCACCAAGCAGCACAGGCAGGGCCTACTGGAACCTGCCTTGCACTGATTACTGACCCGCCGTGGTGGCTATAGTAAGTGCCACAAACAACCTGTCCCAGTAACCCTTCTTCAGCTAGACCTGCCCTGCCATACCATATCTGAGTGACTGACCCTGACAGCTGGAGAAGGAGGCGAAAAGTATTGTGGCCACAAATGAGCAAACAACAAAGAACACACAGTCCGTCTGCTCAGACATAGTCAAATTTAAAAAAAAAAAAAGGGACGAAACAAACAAATCTATAGTCAATAAACGAGCAAAATAACTACTGAATGCCCCGAAGACAGCAGACAATATCAAAATATTTACAAAAACAGGACAGTGGTTCCAGTAGGCGTCCAAAATAAAACACCAGATGAGTTTCCAGTGGAAGAAAATGCACTAGAACTACCTGATAGGGAATTCAAATCTCTAATACTCACAATT